TGGTGGGATTGGGGTTTGAACTCAGGGCTTCCCACTTGCAAAGCAGGTGCTTTGCCACTTGAGCCACTCCTCCAGTCCATTTTTCTCTGGTTATTTTGGAGATGGGGTCTCGTTTGCCCAAGCTGGCCTCAAACCGCAATCCACCCAATCTCAGCCTCTCAAACAGCTAGGATTACAAGCATGAGCCACCACATCTGGCTGCATTAGCTTCTTAAAGTGACAGATGTTCCCCCCACCCTTTGTTCTATAGACCCTCACTGTGTATACTCACTGGCCAATGAGGAAGGGGTGGGCCCTGGGAATTTTGGATTAAGGTAGGGGGCAGAAATGTGGAACCCCCAGTAGATGATCAAGAACCTTCCCACAGGGAAGCTCACCCCTCCCCTCCATAGTGAGGAGATATCCACAGCTGCCCCCCAATCTGGCTCCCATGGCAGACCCCTGGGAGCCAGCAGCATCAGGCAGGGTAGGGGGCTTGGCTGCTGCCCCAGTCTCCCAACCCCTGACCACCCACGGGCCATACTGGTGCCTTCAGGCCTTTGAGGACATCTACATTGAGCAGCGGCGAGTTATCCGGACCATCCTGGAGTACGCCGACAAGATCTTCACCTACATCTTCATCATAGAGATGCTGCTCAAGTGGGTGGCCTATGGCTTCAAGGTGTACTTCACCAACGCCTGGTGCTGGCTGGACTTCCTCATCGTGGACGTGAGTCCACCTGGTCCTGGCCCCATAGCCAGAGTGGGAAGCTGTGTGGCCAAAGACCTTAGGGAGCCCAGGTCCTGAGAGATAGGACCTGTCTGGGGCCACATGTAGAGTCATACCCCAAGATCAGCCCTGCCCTCCAAAAAAACCCCAGCCTCTGGCCTCTTAGACACAGCAGCCCAGGAAGGGGGAATGAAAGACCACTCTTTTCCTATGCGGAAGGACTTAGGACCCTTGGCAATATGAGTGCAGGGTTTTCATATCCTCTTCGATGGGCTTACAGGCTGGTGAAGGAGGTGAGCACCATCCCACCATTGTCCCCAGTGAGCTTGGCTCTAGAAAGGCTGAGACAGGTCCCAGGCTGCTCTACTCATAAGATAGGGCCACCCATTAAGGAGGCAGTCTGAGGGAGACAACCAGAAGGAGCTGTGAATTCAGGAAGACCACCTCCTGGGGTGGGCCATCCCCAGGAGCTGTGTCTTGGGCTTGAGGGGAGGCCAGGGCCCTGCCCTCCCTGACCACCTACCCTTCCCTCTGCAGGTCTCCATCATCAGCCTGGTAGCCAACTGGCTGGGTTACTCGGAGCTGGGACCCATCAAATCCCTTCGCACGCTGCGGGCCCTGCGTCCCCTGAGAGCACTGTCTCGATTTGAGGGCATGAGGGTGCGTGCTGAGGGGGCTCCTGAGGAGGGTGGGGATGGGGGAGCACAGGGCTTGAGCTACTGATGGCCCCTCTCCATTGCACCTGTAATGGTCTCTGCCACCACTGGGGGCAGCAGAGGCTGCTGTAATGCTCAGGAGGTTTCAAGGCAGGGAGAAGACAGGGGGAAGGAAAGCAAGCCTGCCAGTTTATGGGTGTCACTCACTCCTCACTTCAGTCTGGGTGAGGGCCCTAAAACACAAGCAAGTATGAAGGTGTTTGGGCTTCAGCTCTGAGCCTGCTCTGCCTTGAGTTTGGGGTTGTGCTCAGAGTCACACCCTTGAACTTGCCCCTAAGGCCCTTGAAAGCAGAAGTGACAGGTAAACACAGGGACTGGGAAAGACCAATGGGATTTCCCCAGAAAGAGAGGTCTGCTAAGAACAAGTCCACAGGGACCCTGTGAATTGGCTGGTTGCTGGCCCACAGCAAGCTCAGCCTCGGCTAATACAAGAGGCCAGCCCAATGCTGGCCTGGAGCTGGGGACCTCTCCCCACTGAGGGGAAATAACCTGCTCATAGCCACACAGCTGGGTATTGTCCAGACCAGGGGTAGAGCTGCCTTAGGCACCACAGACTTCTGCCATCAACTCTGTCTAGAGGTCATGAAACAACTCCTCCTTAAAAAGGGACAATTCTCAGATTGAACCCAGACTGAAACAGTTTGGTGAGCCCATTTGACTGAGGCTAGTCAGGGACAGAACTCCAGCCCTGAGATCCTGCTGCTTGGCACACTCTGGTGGCCTCTTTTCTATGTCTCTATCACTAAGGCCATGAGCCAATGAGCAGGACCAAGTCACGTGGGCTGAATTTCCTATGGGGGCCGAGGAAAGACTGTTTGTGTCTTGCCTGGTGAGCCATGACCAGGCTGCTTCCAGAGAAGCCTGGTGCCCCACTCTGGCCTGATGATGCCAGCCAAGCAGAGAGCCCTCCCCACCCACCAGGCTGGCAGCTCCCCAGCTCTCTCCTTCACCCCGCCACACATACACTCCAGCAGATGGCTTCTGCCCCTAGGCCCTCACATTGGCCCTCCACTGGGTGGCCCTCCCTGAGTGACATTGCCCAGCTCTGCCTGGTCCCCTGGTTGCTTACGACTGGACAGCCCTTTTTCAGAGGCATGGGAGGGGCTCCGGCAATGACCTCCACCCTGACCCCCAGGTGGTGGTGAATGCCCTCTTGGGAGCCATCCCCTCCATCATGAATGTGCTTCTGGTCTGCCTTATCTTCTGGCTCATCTTCAGTATCATGGGTGTCAACTTGTTTGCTGGCAAGTTCTACTACTGCATCAACACCACCACCTCCGAGAGATTCGACATCTCCCAAGTCAACAACAAGTCCGAGTGTGAGAGCCTCATGCATACTGGCCAGGTCCGCTGGCTCAACGTCAAGGTCAACTATGACAACGTGGGTCTGGGTTATCTCTCCCTCCTCCAGGTGGTGAGTGCCCAGAACTGGGATAGAAGTGTCCACAAATGTCTTCTACCTGGACCCACTGTCACTCCTTGTGAGGGGGGCCACCCACGCTGTGGTGGGACACGGAGATAGTGTCCAGATCTCTCTGTTTCATGCTCGCTTTGGCAGCACATATACCTGAAATTGGAATGATACAGATCTCTCTGTTCTGTATTTGATAGCTGCCCAGTGGGGCTCTGGCAGGTGGCCTCTGAAGAGGGCCAGGTTGGGGTAGGGAGGGAAACTCATGAATAATGGAAAAACAGGAGATAGCCCCCTCCCCTCACAATTTACCATGCTCTTCTAGGCCACCTTCAAAGGTTGGATGGACATCATGTACGCAGCCGTGGACTCCCGGGAGGTGAGTCGTGTCATCAAGATGTGACTCATGAGCAAGAGAGGGGAGAGATGGCACAGCTGCATGTTCAGCCCTTCCCACCCCACCATACTATCTCCTTGGGAGCCCCAGAAGCCTGGGGGTAGGTGGGTCCTGCTTTTAGTACTTTGGGGAGCAGGGAGAAACCATAGTGTACCTCACACTGTCCCATCCTGTGACCCCTACAGAAGGAGGAGCAGCCTCAATATGAAGTGAATCTCTACATGTACCTCTACTTCGTCATCTTCATCATCTTCGGGTCCTTTTTCACACTCAACCTCTTCATCGGTGTCATCATTGACAACTTCAACCAGCAGAAGAAGAAGATGAGTATCTGGCCCGCTTTCCTGGGTCTCCAACCTCCCCTCCTTTGTCCTCACTCTTTCCTGTAGTCCAGTTTTCTGAACAGCCCTGTGCAGTCCCTGGCACAGCCGGCAGAGTCGAGGCGGCAAGCCTGGGCCTGAATGCCACCAGGGGATCTTGAACAGTGACTTGGCCTCCTGAACCTCAGTTTCTTCAGCTAGAAAATGAGATGGATACAGAGTGTGATGGTGTACATCTCTAATCATGGGACTTGGGAGGCAGAAGCAGGAGGATCAGGAGTTTGAGGCCAGTCCAGGCTACATTGTGAGACCCTGTCTCAGCAAAAAGTTAAATGCAGTAGATGCAACCTAACTTGCTAGGTTATTCTAAGGACCCTAAGATTCTGATGTCAGAAATTGACCCGAAAGTAAAAATCGGTCCCCTTCCCTCTGTCACCACTTACTTCTCTGGACCTTTAACACCTCTAGGCTTCCTTCCCCTCTCATCGATTCGTCTCTGGTCCCCTCCAGGGCCCCCTCCCAGTTCTCACCAGGTGCCTTTGTAGGGGTGGGGGCTATCTTAAGGGTGGTATCTAAGGGGGGGATCCTGGAGGCAGAGAAGGGGGCTTCTCCCAGCCTTACAGGCCCTTTCCCACTATACTTTGGAGGGAAAGACATCTTCATGACGGAGGAACAGAAGAAATACTATAACGCCATGAAGAAGCTTGGCTCCAAGAAGCCCCAGAAGCCTATTCCCCGGCCCCAGGTACCAGCCCACTGGGCCCTCCTGTGGCCTGTACCAGGCATCTGCTTGAGGGGGCTGATGGCAGTCAAATGTACCCTGCCCTCTGCCCACTAGGCTTGTGTCCTGGGGTGAGGTGGGGTCCGCCTGTAGGGAGCTGTAACCTTGATAAAGCAGCTCATGCACACACAGCGGCTGCCACTAGACTCCCATCACTGCTTTAACCGCTCATCTGGCCCTGCACAGCCTCCCAGGGCCATCCTCCTCATTTGGAACTCTCAGTGGCCTCTGGGGCAGGGATTCCAACAGGGAGGAGAAAGAGGATGTCCAAACATGCTTCCCAATGAGCAATGACTTTGGGAGAAGGGTGAGAGGTGGCTAGGGGACTTGAGGGAAGAAAGATCTCAGAGCAGGGAGGGATGCCCATGGGTGCATAGAGTGATGTGGTCCCAGACTCCACCACCAGCCGTGATGGCTTCTCTCTCTCTCTCTGTCTCTGTCTCCCCTCTCCATCACACTGACTGTCCCTTCCTTCCTTCCTTCCTTCCTTCCTTCCTTCCTTCCTTCCTTCCTTCCTTCCTTCCTCCCTCTCTCTCTCTCTCTCTCTGTCTCTTCCCCCTCCCCACTCCCATCATGCTGGCTGTTGTGTCCCTGCCTGGCCCCCGTCTCTCTGGGCACTGTCATGTCCACACGTGTGATGCTGCAGAACAAGATCCAGGGCCTGGTGTATGACTTTGTGACGAAGCAGGTGTTCGACATCACCATCATGATCCTCATCTGCCTCAACATGGTCACCATGATGGTGGAAACAGACGAGCAGAGCCAGCTGAAGGTGGACATCTTGTACACCATCAACATGGTGTTCATTATCATCTTCACCGGGGAGTGCGTGCTCAAGATGTTCGCCTTGCGCCAGTACTACTTCACCGTGGGCTGGAACATCTTCGACTTTGTGGTTGTCATCCTGTCCATCGTGGGTGAGCGGCAGGGCAGCGCCGGGACAGGTCCTTTAGTCCTTAGGAAGGCCTTCCTCCTGCACACACACCTGCGCGTGCACCTGGCACACTCACCTACACAAACGGGTGCCTGCCATTCACTTTTTTTTTTCTGTACTGAGAATTGAACACAGGGCCTCACACTTGCCAGGCAAGTGCTTTTAGTTTGCTTTTTGGGTCGGGTCTCTTGTTCTTCCCTAGGATGGCCTCAGACCTCAATCCTCCTACCTCCCAAGTGGCTGGGATTACAGATATGAATCACCATACCTGACTTGTTTTTGAGATTGAGCCTTGCTGACTTTTTGCCTAGGCTGGGCTCAAACCATGATCCTCTTTTCTCTGCCTCCTGTGTAGCTGGGATTGTCGTGTGCCAGCAAGCCTGTTGCCCTTCACTTTTTTTCTCAGCAGTACTGGGGTTTGAACCCACTGCTTTGCACTTGCCAGGCAGGTGCTCTACCACTTGATCCAGGCCTCCAGGCCTTTTTGCTCTTATTTTGGAGATGGGGTCTCACTTTTGCCCAGGCTGTCCTGGACTGTGATTCTTCTATATATGCTTCCCACTGTGGCTGGGATGACAAACATACTGTCTGCACTCAGCCTTTTCTCTGTTAGGATGGGGTCTTGTGAACTTTTTTGCCCAGGAACTGCAGTCCTCCTGATCTCATGCTCCCAGGAATCTTAGGATGACAGGCGTGCACCACCACACCCCGCTATTGGCAGAGATGGGGTCTTACAAACATTTTTCCCTGGCTGGCTTTGAACCACAATCTTCCTGATCTCAGTCTCTCAAGTAGCAAGGATTACATGTGTGAGGCACTGGTGCCCGCCTCTGTCTGTCATTCCTAACGCACAAAGGTGTGCGTGGTTACAGCCAGCCAGCCATCTCTGCACACATAAATACACCTGAAGAAACACACTGACCTGACCAGTACCTCATGCTCAGTGCCCGTGTACTGAGTCCAACGCATAAGAGACGGCCCCAGCGCCTGTACTTACTGACGCGCACCGCCACGCGTGCGACCGTGACGGTGACTAACCTGTGTTTATTAAGCATCCTCTCTGTGCTGGCACTGTGCCGTGCGCTTTACAGGCAGCATCTCACTCGCTGTCCATGGTCATGCCTCGAGGTGAGCACGGTTACTACCCCACTTTACAGATGAGGAAACCGAGGCAGACAAGGCGCATGCCCACAGCTGTTCTCGCTACCTCACCCCCTCTCCCCTATGCCGTCTGCAAGCAGCCTTAGGAATGGGCCTCACCCTCACTTCTTCACCTTTGACATATCCCACCTCCAGTTGTCAGGACAAAGGAGCCACTGGGCTACTTTGGAGAGCCCAGTCTGATGGAGTTGTGCTGGGAGGGTTGATCTCCACCTGCTCCTCTCAGGGGCAGAGCACACCAAGCTGGGCTCCCTGAGTCCCACTTGCCCCCCACTTCCTGACCCGGCCTCTGCTCCTCCCTGCAGGCCTGGCGCTCTCTGACCTGATCCAGAAATACTTTGTGTCACCCACATTGTTTCGCGTGATCCGCCTGGCGCGGATCGGACGTGTCCTGCGGCTGATCCGTGGGGCCAAGGGCATCCGGACACTGCTCTTTGCCCTTATGATGTCGCTGCCTGCCCTCTTCAATATTGGCCTCCTCCTCTTCCTGGTCATGTTTATCTACTCCATCTTCGGCATGTCTAACTTTGCCTACGTCAAGAAGGAGTCGGGCATCGATGACATGTTCAACTTTGAGACCTTCGGCAATAGCATCATCTGCCTCTTTGAGATCACCACATCAGCTGGTTGGGACGGGCTTCTGAACCCCATCCTCAACAGCGGACCCCCAGACTGCGACCCCACACTGGAGAACCCAGGCACCAGTGTCAGGGGTGACTGTGGTAACCCGTCCATTGGTATCTGCTTCTTCTGCAGTTACATCATCATCTCCTTCCTCATCGTGGTCAACATGTACATCGCCATCATCCTGGAGAACTTCAACGTGGCCACCGAGGAGAGCAGTGAGCCCCTCGGTGAGGATGACTTTGAGATGTTCTACGAGACGTGGGAGAAGTTCGACCCCGACGCTACCCAGTTCATTGAATACAGCCGCCTCTCTGACTTCGTGGACACCCTGCAGGAGCCGCTAAGGATTGCCAAGCCTAACAAGATCAAGCTGATCACGCTGGACCTGCCCATGGTGCCCGGAGACAAGATCCACTGCCTGGACATCCTCTTTGCGCTGACCAAAGAGGTGCTGGGCGACTCTGGGGAAATGGACTCCCTCAAGCAGACCATGGAGGAGAAGTTCATGGCGGCCAACCCTTCCAAGGTCTCCTACGAGCCCATCACCACCACCCTCAAGAGGAAGCAGGAGGAAGTATGCGTCATCAAGATCCAGAGGGCTTACCGCCGACACCTGCTGCAGCGCTCCGTGAAGCAGGCATCCTACATGTACCGCCACAGCCAGGATGGCAGTGGGGATGGGGCCCCCGAGAAGGAGGGACTGATCGCCAGTGCCATGAACAAGATGTATGGCCCAGAGAATGGGAACAGCAGCATACAGAGCCAGGGGGAGGAGGAGGGCTCCACGGGAGACATGGGACCTGCCACGGAGCTCACACCCGTCAATCCTTTAGACGCTGCCCTGCCTCCCTCCCCACCACCCGGGCAGTTAGTGCGCCCAGGGGTCAAAGAGTCTCTTGTCTAGCGGGGAGCATAAAAGTGGCCAACTGAGCCTTGACACAGGCCTGAAGCTTCCCTGAGGGGCTCCCACTCAAAGTGAGAGAGAAGGGCTTTGAGTTTGGGGCTGTGTCCTGGGCTGATGCCCGAGCCCAGGAAAATGGCATTTGCACTCAGGGCTCAGGCCTCCTGAGGCCCCTGCCTCATCTTACCTCCTTTTGTGCCCTCCCATCCCTCCTCTTGACCTGGGGGAGATCAGAACATCCAAATGTCTGCCCCCTCTGCTTGGGGAGGAGCCAGCTTACAATGGAGGGATTTGGCTGCCTGCTGTCACCAGAGTCTTAAGAGTTACTGGCCTCTCCCCAGGGAGTGGCTCAGGCCTCCCAGCTCCAGCCAGGACAAAGCCAAGTCTTAACCTCAAAACTGGGGACACCTAACCCCAGCCCTGTCCTCTAATTCTGGGTAAGAGCTTCCCTCTGCCAGCTCAGAAATTCCCTGGAAAAGGGAAACACTACTGGTCCAGAAATTGCTCCATGAACAATTGGCCACTGGATCCTGATACATTGGGCTGGGATTGTGACTTCTGAAACCTTTTCTCAGCCATGTCCAGGCCCCTGGACAGCTCCCCTGGCTGGCCCTTAGGGGAAGAGCAGAAGGAAGGATTCCACTCAGAAATTGCTTTTTTTTTCCTAGGAAGCATGGCTGGGTAGTACAGGCTGGGTTCCACCAGCTGTATTGATTTACTTGGCCTGAGCATCTGGACCCCTCAGGGAGGGAGGGCTGGGGACCCAGAAGATTCTGTTCCTTTCCTCTCTCCCGCTTCATGTCTTCATTAGACCACCAGGGCTCCTCGTAGCCCCATCAAGCCATAGAGGTCCCTCCCTTCTTACGTGGCACATGTCCATCTCTTCCTCCGTCCCCATCCTTTCCCACCTCCTCAAAGTGACCTAAGAATGTTACAGTCGAGCCCATGTGAGAGGTGTCAACACTGGAACAGGCAGCAGAGAAGGCTCAGCTGGCTTGGGCTCAACTTTCCAGCCTGGAAAGCCACTTCCACTGGCACTGCTCATCTGGACATGGCTACTACACCAGGCTCTTCTAGCTCCCAGAGGACAGAGGCCAGGCTTGAAGGAGGGAATGAGAGTTCTGCTCAGGGGTCTCTGGATTCAGTCATTTGTCTGTGTACCTGTGTGGCTGTGCATCTGTTTATAGGCCTGATGGATAGTGAGTGTGTGTGTGTGTGTGTGTGTGTGTACCACTGTGTAGAAGTGCCTGTAGGTGCATATCTTTGTATCTTCCTGTCTATATGTGTCAGTGTGCCCTGAAGAGTCTGTGGTCTGTGTGTGTGCAGCTGGTGTGTGTGTGTGTGTGTGTGTGTGTGTGTCTTTAGTGTAGGCCTGTCCATATGAATGTGTTGTGAAGGTGTGAGTGTGAACACGTGTGGTAAGTTTTGCACACCGAGTCCCCTGATGACGTCAGTTCCTCTTCTTTTTCTTCTTGTTTCTCACAAGCCATTTTATTAAAACTCAGGAAGCAAACCCCAGTCCCATAAAAAGACAAAAAAAAAAACCAAAAAACAAAAACCTCAGGAGGCAGCAAAACCTTCAAAACAAGAAGAGTGTGCACATGTGTGTGTGTGCCTGTGTGTGCCTGTCCGTGGGCCAGTCTTCCTTGTTGACTGCTCTGCTCTCTCGTCTCACCCCATCCCACCTCAAGGTCCCTCTCCCTCCCTCCCCATGAGCTCCTCTCATCCCTTCCTGTTTTTTGTTCTCACACCCATGGCCTCAGGCCCATCCCTGTCTCCTGCCTGTGTCTCATCCTTCCTGTGATGACTCTGGCTCTTCCTTCAGAAAGTTCCCAGAGAGAGTCAGCCGCCCCCCCCCCCGCCCCTCAGCACCCTCCCTCCTCCTCTCTGCCTTCCTCTCCTGGGCCCCAACTGGTGTGGCCTCCTGAAGCCTCAGGAATCTGTTGGATTGGATGCGCTCCACAGACTGTGCGCTGATTGCTAAGGAAGAGTGATGAACGGGGTCTGGCCTGTCCCTGCCTGTGGCCCCTCCCTGCGTATTGACACCGTTCCCACCTTGTCCAAGTGGAAACCAGCCCCAAGCCAGGCTGGCAGACGAGCTTCTTTGTACAGTTCTTACAATAAACTATCCCCCTGCTTTTGTTGTGTGGTCTTCTCCCTCTGTGCCTTTGTGTATACTTCTGGATGAGGACTGACAGCAGCAAGAAGGAAGACATTGGTCCCTGGACCTTGGCCCACGGGCTTCCCCAAGATGCCAAGTGGAGATGATCTGGGGAGACGGTGGAGGCTCTTCCCCTAGGCAGCACCCAGGAAATACATGTGGGGCCCTGTTGTCCCCAGCCCTTGCCCTCAGAAGCCCCCCTTCACCTCTCTGCCCTCTCAGACACCTCAAGGTGCCTCTGAGGCTCATAGGCAGTCCTTCCCTCTGCTCAGAGGTACCGTACCCCATGACTGACCCTGGTCCCTGGTTTCAGAGAGCCCAGAGTCACAGGGACCTGTGTGCAACAGAAAGTATTCTTTGTGGGGTTTTTGTTTTTGTTTTTGTTTTGGCTGTATTGGGACTTGAACTCAGGGCCTCACATTTACTAGATAGGCACTCTACCACTTGAACTATTCAGCCAGCCCCAGAAACTATTCTTATATGTAAGAAACTCAGCTCACAAGGCCAGTAGTGACATGTAATTTTACACATAACTTAATTTTCTGTAATAATTTCTGACTGCCAGGGCTGAGGTCCTCCAAGTTTGTGAACCCTTCTTCCTTTCAGGGTTTCTGCACCCTTTCTCCTGGGTCCTGAGGTTACAAGGCATGGACAAGGGAAAGAAGGGTACTCATGGGCCTTGGTCCACAGGATGCCCTCAAGACATTCCTCAATTGTCTCTGCTCAGTTGTCTCACCTTGCCATTCTCTGCATGGTGGGAGAAGGCATCCAGCATCCCTAAGGTCCTCTGAGTCCACCAAGGTGCTCATCTCCTCCCAGGGGACTGGAGTCCTTGTCTCTTTACTTCTCCTCACCTCACCTGGGCCTCTCTGGCACCAGGACAGGAAGATTGCAGGGTGCCCTTGCACACCTTTCCTCTGAGCTCTGACTGGCAGAAGAAAAAAGGCAAAACCCTAGGTGGGAAACACCTATAACATAAACTCCCAATTCTGCCACCCCCTTCCTTTCACATCTCCAAGGACATAGGATGGCCGTGGGTCACACGGCACCCTATGAAGAATGCGTTATTGAGATCATTTCTGTTCTCACAAAGATGAGGAAGCTTGGTCTCTGAGGAGTTAGGAATGGGTGCTGTTGGCACGTGAGCCACAGAAATGCTGCTTCATGAATCACTGTCCCATCCTGGGCCTTTAACCCTTGGCTCTTGAATGGCCAGGGGCTAAATTATGGCATTGTGACCATCATTACTGCCTGACACATTTCCAAATGCTCCCAGGTAAAGGACACATTGAGAACCACCAGTAACTTGGAGAAACTTTGGCTGATACTTGCAGAGTTAGGATTTGAAGCTGAGTCATTCTTATTGTCCTTTTTAGTGGCCTCCTCCTGGTAAAAAGGTTTCTCTCCTCTCTCTCTCTCTCTCTCTCTCTCTCTCTCTCTCTCTCTCTCTTGGCAGTACTAGGATTTAAACCCAGGGCCTTGCCCTTGCTGGGCAGATACTCTACCACACTTCCAGCTCTTTTTCATTTTAATTATTTTTCAGATAAGGGTCTCTTTCTTTTGCCTGGGCTGACCTGGACCACAATCCTCTTACCTATGCCTCTCTCATGTACCAATAAGCATCCTGGTTTATTGATTGAGATGGGGGTCTTGCTTATTTTTTTGCCCAAACTGGCCTCCAACTTCTATCCTACCAATCTTTGCCTCCTGAGCAGCTGAGATTATAAATGTGTGCCACCATGCTTGGCTCAGCATCTCTTGTTTTGATCTATCTTCCTGGAAAGGTGAGAAAGCCACCAGATGTCACGGTGTGCAGTTCAGGACAGGTTGGAGGTGGTGGGGGTGGCTATGAGGCCTTCTGTTCTGGGAAAGAAAGGGCATCAGGAGCCCAGGATATTGTCACCAGCAAGGGAACAGCCCGGCCCTTGCCGTGACAAAGAACCCCATAGCAGTGGAGGCCCCACTGCCTCATCTCCCCTGAAAGCAAGTCCTGGCCTCTGATGAATGGGAATGAAGTCCAAAGGTCACATCTGCATCCCACCCACGGGTGATGCTAATGCAGTGAGTTTGGAGGACAGCAAGGCCCCCTGCCAACCTCCATGCCCCCATGGTTACCTGGGCCTCAGAACCAGCTTCTGAGCAGGCCCCGTGGCACATAGCCCAGACAACACATGGGTGAGTTCACACCCCACACACATTTACCCTAAGCCTTCCCTAGTAACCTCTTGACTTTGGGAGTCCCTAGCTCCTAGCAAACCAAGGCCCCCATCACCAGGGACTCAGGAGTGTAGAGTTTGCTAACAGGAGAGAGCCCCCCAGGCTTTGTCCCACTCCCTACACTGCTCACCCCATCAGCATGCGACCCCGTGGTCCCCATGTTGACCTCAGGTGATGTTCTTATTCCTGGGCTGTTTATTCTGTGTGCTGAACATCTAACACCTTTTCAGAGAAATGTTTTTCATTTGGAACATCTGGAAATAATCAAAAACATCTGGGACTGCCCAGAATGATCTGTTGCTCTGATGAAAACTTACCCCTCCCCTTCCGTCCCCAATTTCCATAGCTCAGGCACTGGCCTACACTCCTCCCCCACCCAGTTAGGTGAGGTGTAGGTCCAGGACAGAGATGAGGGGCCCAGACCCTCTATCTTACAACCCAACTGTGGGAAGAGGGTCCCCACCTCTCTAAACTCAGGCTGCTCTGCCAGCCACACAGGCTGCTTAGAAAGAGAAGGTCGTCGGGACAGTGAGATGTGGACAGAGGGCACTGAGGATCTAACATCTGTCTTCTCCTGGGAGTCAGGGGACAAGAGTGAGAAAGAAGGTGCCAGGAGACATGGCACAAAAAGGTTGTGCTGCAGGTCTGAGGCTTGCAAGCTTGTCACGTCCTTCTGTGCAGGTTGCACCCTATACAAGGACATCCCCCAAGAGGCGTTGTATGGGACCCTGGGACAGGGTACAGCTGAGCTTAGATGAACCTTGAATGCTACGGTTCCATCTCCTGCCCTGCTGGCCACGGGCTACAGCCAGAGAGTCTTTTAGTTTCAGAACCTCAGGGTTCCCTGACACTAGCCCTGTGCCCCAACCAGGACTGCTGGAGATTTGGACAACACTTTAGTGCCCACACAACCCCTTGGAGAAGCTCTCGGATTGTCTCTACCTAAGTTCAACCTCTTCAGCAGCCCACAATGTGAGGAAGGGAGCTTCTCACTAGGGCCTAGACCATGTCTTTTCCGAAGTGACCAACACATTCAGCCTGCTCTTGGCTCAAGAATCTCTGTGGCTCCCTTCCCCCACAGTACCAACTTCTGACATGGCTACCTGCACTCCACACAAGAAGTTCTGCTCTGGGTCCCTCCAGGTTCCTGGTGTGGATCCATCTATGGCTGACCCTGGCCCCTGAACTGGCCTTCCTCAGTGCTCCTCTTCCCACAGGGCAAGGTGGTCCAGGACAGAGGATCCCTGTCAGATTCAGTGGTACGACTAGTTTGTGTCTTGCTAAGTGCCAAGGAATGAAGACTGGCCAGGCACTGCTCTTCCAGGAACTGGTAGGCAGCAGATGAAAAGCTAGCAGGCCCAGGGAATGACCAGAGTGGGGTGGGGACAGAGGGAGAGAAACACAGGCTGTCCCAGGAAGATTCAGAAGCTCCCCTCCTAGGGGTTCTACTGAAGATCTTAGCTGTACTGACCAAGTCAGCAACCTTTAAGCCTTAGTGGCCCAGCTGATGAGAGCCCGCCCTCTCCCAGGGTCCCCAGGGTCCTTTGAGAGCTGGTGCCTCCCCTGGGTCCCAATTTGCATGGCAGGAAGGGGCCTGGGGGGGCGGGTAAGAGGCGGGGAAGGGACAGACTGTAACCAGGCAGTTACACGTTTTCCCCCCAAAACCTCAGATAGACTGGTGACGGGCTGGGATTTGGGGACAGAGCGGTGACTATGGCTGGTCTGGTGCCATCTCCTGTGCTCTACCACTGGCTGGTGGTTTTGCTGCTGTTTCTCTCAGGTATGGCTTCTGTGACAGACCTGCGGCTTTACTCAATCTCCCGTTCTCTATACTTCCTCCTGTGCCTCACTTTCTGCTTCTCCTCTCCCTCAGCCCACTCTGGGGCCTGCTTTGTGGGTTTCAGCCATGGTAAAGGGCTGACCATAGGCAGCCCAAGTCCTTCTTCTGCGTGGAGGGTGTCATGCTGAGCTGGCACAAGAGGCAAACCTGGGTGGCTGTGACTGGAGAAAAGCTAGGCCTGGGAGGAAGAGGGAGCAGTGCATGGCTTGCCACCACATGGGAGGAGGCAGGCAGGAGGCTGCCCCAACCAGATCCTGGAAGATGCATGTTCAAGAAATGGTCCCCTCTTTGTCTGGAAGGTGGGAGAGCCCTCCCAGCTTGACTTCCTGTCTCATTTAAATGCCTGCTCAAGGGTCAAGGGCAGAAGGGAGGCTGGAGGTGGGACTTCTAGAACCTCTACCCCATCCCTGCCTCCCCGGAACAGGGACAGGGAAGGCTGAGGGATCATAGAGCTGCAGTCCTTGGGGGAGGAATTGTCTCTGGGAATGCAAAGGGTGCAGGGGTAGGGCAGCCAATGGAGGGTGGAGAGGCCTGACATGGCCCCGCCCAATTCCTCCCACCCTGCAGGTGAGCTGGTGCCAGCAATGACAACAGGAGACCTGCTGCAGAATCCCCAAGGTCAGTCGCCTCAGCCACCCCTCCTGAGGGCAAGTATGTCTGTATTCAACGCTGGGCACTGTCCTGGTGGATACCTCTTGAACTGTCCTTCCCTGGGAGTCTCCATCCAGGACTCTCATCTCCAGGCCTCCTTTGGGTCTTCCCAGTGAGGCCTCACCCCCAGCCAGCTGTCATCCTCATGTGCTCTAGTCCTGGGTACTGGAGGCTAGGCTAACCTGGGGTCTCAGCAAGGTGGCCAGAGAGAATTCCACCAAGGTCTCAGGCCTGGCTCTATCCAGGTGGGGGGTTGGTTTTGCCTTGGAGTTAGTGAGTGAGCCCCTGGAGGCAGAAGCACAAAGTAGAACAGGTCCATGCAAGAGGGTAGAGGGGAGTGATAGAGGAAGGTCCTTAGTTTGCCGACTAAGGATTGGCCTCTATCCTCTGGGGCCTTGGGGAACCCTTGAGGATTTCAGGCAGAAGCAGGGCCAGCCCAGGGGAAGGAGAACTAGAAGCCAGGCCACAGGATGTAGTGGGTCTCCAGGCTTTGAGGTAAGGCCTGGGTCTGGCTGTTGTAATGGGCATGGAAAGAAATCAGAAGGTCCCAGAGCCCTTCTGAAGAAACTCAAATGGACAGACGGGTGGCTAGGAAGAGGCGGGGTCCACTGGGTTGGTTTGTGGCCTCTCACTTAACTCTGCCCCCTGACTGCCCCACACTTGAGAAGCAAGGACAGGAGAGGCAGCCTGAGCCTCCCAGGCACCACAGGGCAGGGGTCTGTGGGTGAGACTGACAGCAGAAGATGCCAGGTGGAATTCTGGATCTGGCCTTGGTACCCACAGGAAGTGCGTGTTCCCGGATCTGGCAGCACCCACGGTTCGTGGCCAAGAAACGGGGCTCTGTGGTGAAAGTACAGTGCTACATGGACAGCTCCAGCCCCTCCAGCATAGTGACCTGGTTATGGAAGCCGAGTATGGACATGGAGCCCCAGGAGGTGCCCCTGGAACAGGATCACATCTTACAGACCCAGAACGGCTCTATCCACACCCTCACCATTCAAGGCATCCAGTTTGAGGACAATGGCATCTACTTCTGCAAGCAGGAGTGCACCGGATCCAAGCCCAATGTTTCCCTGGGCTGCGGCACAGAACTTCGAGTCATGGGTGTGTGCAGGGTAGATGGGTGGTCATGTGGTCATCCACACCCACATTCCCCTCCCCTCCCCCAGCCCAGCCTGCCATGGCAGGAGAGCTGCTGGGGCCAAGCTCACAGGGTGGGCTCCATGCAACACCACCACCGCCAGCCCCAGCCTCACACTCCCCCCCACCCCACACCTCCCACAGGGTTCAGCACTTTGGCCCAGTTGAAGCGGCGGAACACGCTGAAAGACGGTATCATCATGATCCAGACCCTTCTTATCATCCTTTTCATCATTGTGCCCATCTTCCTGTTGCTGGACAAGGTGACCACTGAGGCTGAGGGAGCTTTGGGGAGCCAAGGAGGTGGCCACAGGGCAGACCAGACACGGGCAGGGTTTCCATCTCCCCAGCATCTGTGGCTGCCCTCTCAGCCCAGCCCAGCCCCAGAGCTTGTCCGTTGGCTTACTATTCAATCATTCACTCAGTTGTTGGTGGAGATACCTCGTTCCCCTCCCCTCCCCCACGCAGGCCCATGTCCCTGGCCCTCCCCAGCCTGGTCCATCCGGGGCTAGAAATAGGAGATGCTAACACTCTAATTCCCATCCCTCCACCTGCCATGCAGGATGACAGCAAGGCTGGAATGGACGAAGACCACACCTATGAGGTAAGCAAAGGGTGACTGCCATGTGTTGGGGTGGTCAGGGTGTAGTACAGATCTGAGCTCCATTTTGTGCTTCCAGGGTCTGAACATTGACCAGACGGCCACCTACGAGGACATAGTGACTCTGCGGACAGGGGAGGTAAAGTGGTCTGTTGGGGAGCACCCAGGCCAGGAGTAAGAAACTAGCCCCCCAGGCTCCAGCACAGCTCCTGGGCCTCACTACTGACTGCTTCAGAAATACCTGGCTCGTGGCCCATTCTTTGCTCCCTGGCTCCAAAGTTGGCCTCCGAAGCTAGCCCACCAGAGCCACCTCCCTGTCCAGCCCCTGGTTCCCAGCTCTTGCCAAAGAGCCTGGGGTAAAAGGACAACAGCGTAGTGATTTGGAGCAGGGAATTCTCTGGGAGTAGTCTGAACCCAGCCTTCTGGGGGTGCTAGGCACGATCTACCACCACATTTGGAACAGAAGAACAGAGACTCGTTAGAATTTGCGAGTGGACTCAGGGATGATGGGCTTCCTGCAGAACCCAGGAAGAGCCAGGACTTCCAACAGCCCCAGAAGGGCTTACAAGAACGTTCTTCCTCCTGTCCCCTGCCCCAGAGGGCACCTAGCCTGAAATGGGTTCTCCCCTGGAATAAACAATGCGTCTGATAACCCCTACCAGGCATTCTACATCTCATGAGTGGGTGGTGGGTGAGTGGGTGTGACTCTTCACAGTTATGGTATCTGAATGTGGCACCTGTGAGTCCATGAGATATGGGAGGGGACGACTGCCCTGGTCACCCTTCCCTTCTCCTTGAAGGCCCAGTTGAGGCCTGTGGTTACATCCCTGTGTCTTCTGCCCCTGGCTCTTGTTGGGCCTAGAGCAACTTGAAAGAGGGTATCCATTGGGTCCTTCGCTGGACCCTGGGGCCCTCACCCTGGGTTCCACTGAGCCAACCAGCAGCAGGTGAGTCCTGGCTGCTCCATAGGGTCAGCCCTAGAGGACCCTGCCCTTCTCCCCCACTGATCACAACCCTCCTGCCCTCCACCCTACACAAAGCCCTCCCAAAGCACCACAGGTGCTGGTGGAGTGGCTCAAGTGGTAGAATGCCTGCCTACCAAAGCACCACAGATGTTGCTGAGCCTCCTCAGACCAGCCTGTCCAGCTATGGCCCTGGGCTTGAGCCCCTCAAGCGGTCTTGTTCTCCAGTTAGACTAGAAGCTCCCTGAAGGCAGGGTTTCCTGCCTCTGTAGCACCTCCTACCCATCCTGCACCAAGTCTAGGACTTTTTCTTTTAAATCTATCCCAGAGCCATGAAGAGAGAAAGATTCCTAAAGGAAGCCCCATGTTGTAACATTTGGGGGTCCTTAGCCGGGTGATCCCTTTAGACCTTCTCAGCACCACATCAGAGGCTCCCTAGGGCCCTAAAAACTAGAGCCCAACCTACCAGCTGTGAGTAACTGGGAGCAGCTCAGAGCTGAGAGGTCAGGTGCAACTAACCTGTATGTGCAAAGCCTTCCTCCCTAGTCCAGCTGTTGACACTGAGGGAACCTTGAAACACCTCTCTGTAGTTCATGCTTTGGATTCAGGCAGGTAAATCCCTGAGGCAGCTGTCAGTTTATCTGAAGACCCATGGTAAGCATGTGGGAGTTAGCAAGAGAAGAACAGTTTTTAGCAGACACACCCTGGAGTTCTGGGTGAGCAGATGGGTAAGGCGTGCACACCTGGAGTTTCAGGGCAATCTGCCTGTCACTCTGTGGACCTGCTGTGGGCTTGGCTGGGCTGAGCTGGGCTGGCTGTCTCCTCCCTGGTCTGGGGTCCCAGAGGAACCGGCTTGTTTTGGCACCTACCTCCACTGAGCTGGAGCCCTCACTTTCCTGCTGCTTTGCATAGTGGCACTAATTCTGTACTCTCCACCAGGGACCTGGGTAGCCAGTCGAGGGGGCAGGGAGAGTCTTCACTTCTCCCCCAAGCAGGGGAAGACCCCTGCTTGGGGCTTCCCTGGGTCAGGGGGAGGTCTTGGCTTTACCAAAAGACTAACATCTTTCAATAGCTGGGGTTCCTGGAGGTTTTGAAATGCTTGTTGACAGAGAAGCAGACACCCCAAAGGCTATAAGTCTTTTGAGTTATGACAGAGAAGCCCTCTGTCATCAAAAAAAAGGGCTGTTTTGCTATTTTAGAAGCTCTCATTTTGGGTGTCCCCGTGTCTGTCTTATGGGGCCCTGGTCCTTAGAACTTACTCAGGGAGAAACTTAGTGAATGAAAACCTAGCTGGGGGATGATGGTGGGGGTGATGAGTGTCCCAGGCCTCAGTTGCTTTATCTGTAAAATGGGAATCACAAAACCTATCTGAGGCCAGGTGTAGTGATGTGTGCCCACGACCTCAGCTACTCAGGAGGCTGAGGCAGGAGGACCTCGAATTCAGGCTAGCCTTAGCCCACTATGTAGCCTTGTGAGCCTCCTGCCTCATCTAAGTGCTGGGATTACAGGTATAGTCACCATGCCTTGCCTCAGATGTTTTTTTAATCAGATAATAAAATGAAGTTTATTTACTTTTCTTTGTACAGACATGGAAAGTTGTACAGTTCTATGAATTTTAGAACATGTATAGATTTGTATAACCACCTCCACAATCAGAAAACAGAATATAAACTTGAGTGAGCACATATTAGGCCCAAGAAACATATACGAAGCACCTCTTAAACGCTCATTTTTCCTTCATTGAGTACCTCATGCTCATTTACATTATCTTAGTAAGCCCTAGCATAACCCTGGAAGAGGATAAACTTATCCCTGTCTTACAAACAAGGAAATCGAGGCCCATGGAAACTACCAGCATGGCCAAGAGTCACATCCAGACCTCTCACTCAAATACAGCTTTCTTCCCATAAATCACAACTGCCTCCCCTCAAAGGGCTTGGCAGCAGGAAAACTTTGAAACCGGAGAAGGAAGGAAAGGAGTAGGAGCAGAGAATCCTGGGACAACTTTAGTTGTCTTTAAAGTTCTGTGCTTTAAAGAGGTCACTAATCCCTATTCATCCCAAGGTCTGGAGACCCACAAGCCCCACCCTTGTGAACAGGGTCTGAGTGGGCCTCCCAGACCCCTCCAGAGGAGCTCCTGGGCCATCCTTGAGGAGCCCAGCTCTTCCCAGCTTCCAGAATGCAACTCTGAAGTCCTCGGTGGGCACATGCCGCACAGCCCACTGGGGGAATCCAGCTGAGTCCCTTGGGACCCTGGTTTAAGCGCAGGCTGGTTCCTCCTCCGCTCTAGCTTGACTTCCGGCCCTCTTGCTGCAGGTGTTGCCTAGGCTGGGGTGATCTGACCCAAGGCTTTGAGTGTTTTTCCAGCAGAATCAGAGGTAAGAGAAAAACAAGACGCAAAAAGCCACCGCTGTTTGGGTAGCAATGGCAGGTAGTGTTTACGCCTAGCAGGTGTCTAGCCAGGCTGGGTCTCCCACACACGACCTCAAAGGCCATCTGGGAGCATCACATTTAGCATTCCCAGATTCTATCTACTCCCTTTAGTTCACATCAGAGCTGAGAAATTTCTGGGTGTGTCCCAGGTCTCTGAGCTGCCCTTGCTAGGACACCCTCTAGTCCCGTGTTGTCCTGCAAACAACAACAAACTTTCCACTTGAGATGTCCCACTGCCCTCCCCAATGCAAAAGTCTTTACTTGGAAACACGGGTGACTAAAAAATAATAAAAGTGAACAGCCATTGAGTCCTGAGTTCAATCTGAATATAGTCTGTTAAAAACACATTTTGACTGATCCTTTGCAATTTAAAAAAAAAAAGGCATCTTCCCATGGACCTAATCTGACTTTCTCTACTCAATAGGATGGGAAAGTGAGACACCTCTAGGGTACAGGTTCTGCAAGTTGTGAGTCTGTTCAGATTTTTTTTTTTTTTTTGTATTACTGGGGTTTGAACTCAGGGCCTACACCTGGAACCACTCCACCACCCACCAGCCCTTTTTTTGTGAAGAGTTTTTTAGAGAAGTTAGGGTTTCAGTAGCTATTTACCCAGGGCTGGCTTTGAACCCCAATCCTCCTGATCTCTGCCTTCTGAGTAGCTAGGATTACAGGTGTGAGCCACTGGTGCCTGGCTCTGTTTAAATTGTTTTTATTTTATTTATTTTTTTATTTATTTTTTATTGTTTTATTATTCATATGTGCATACAAGGCTTGGGTCATTTTTCCCCCCTGCCCCGTTTAGATTGTTGATGTGAACATGGACTCAACACATGCATATGACCCTGTCTATTTTTTCATTTAATTTTTTCACATATGTATTGTCATATATTCAAGTTCCTGCCCTTGTTATTTTAAAGTAACTGTACTGATAGAAGATGTCAAGACACAACATGTCTGCCTTGCCATTCCCAGTCAGCTGGAGCTACGAGCTTCTCTCTTGGTTCTGTTCTTCCGTGCATTTGCTCCTTTTGAATTCCCAGGCCTGGGACTGCGCCAGCTCTCCCACTCCCTCCATTCCCTCATGTATTCTGTCACCTCTGTAGCTCAGCTATTTTCCTTCATGGTAGCTTTCCCAACTTGAAAGTTGTCTATATTACACCGTTACATATTTATTTGTTTGGTGTTTTCTCTCTCCTTAGTAGACTGTTAGTTCCAGAAGAGAAAGGATTGTGTCTTTTGTTCACTTTAGGTGTGCCCAAACGTCTGGCATGGAGTATGGGCCACAAATACCAAATCAGTTAATGAATGAGCCAGATGTGGTGGTGGTGCACATCTGTAATTCCAGCACTTGGGAGGCCGGGGCAGGAGGATCTGGAGTTCAAGACCAGTGTAGGCTATATATTGAGTTTGAGGCCAGCCTGGTCTACATATTTGGACCCTGTTTCAAAAAAAAAATATATATATATATATACAAAGACAGAGAGACAAGGAGGGAAGGAAGGGAGAGAGAGAGAAGGGAAGGAGGGAGTGAATGAATGGATGAATGGACAGATGAAAGGCAAGAATTCTGTCTTAATGAGCTTACAATACAATAAGGGGAATATTATGGCTACCTCAGAACATAGTACTTCTTTTTCAGTGCGACTCTTTCCCTGGGGCATGATGCTCAAAGTGCAGGCCACTTAGCAAGTCCAGTTACTTAGATGGTCATGTACTTCTAGATTGTTCAGGGACCATCCCCCAATGTAAACAACATCCCCATGGACACACAAGAGTGCCTGTCCTGCACCACCCCCAGCCCTCCACGTCCTCCCTCCATGCTTGAGCTCTCTGTTGCATCGTGGGGCAAACTCAAGGGTCCAGGAGATACAGGAAGTGAAAACACATGCACACTGAAACGTGCAATACAAATAGGGGGAATGACATGACTTGGTTCACTAAATCAGGCGACATCATGTTGTTTTTTTTCTCCCCTTTTCTTAGTACCTATGGGCACCTCATTCTGGGGCTGATGTTCTCATGTTCAATTCCCCCACATTCATCAAATATCTCTTCGGGAACTTGATCTTGCCCTGCTATCTGTGCACTGAGGAAAGTCTTATTCATGCCAGATGTTACCACCATCTTTCCTAGATCAGGCTTCTAAAGCTGTCAGTGTGGTGGAAAGACTCAAGGCTTTGGGTAAACATCACCCAGCAACTGGGAGACCCTGGACAACCTACTTTATCTCTGAACCTCAGTGTCCTTGGCTAGGAAATGAAACTCATATATCCTATGGCCCAGTACAGTGTCTGGCACCTGGTAGGCTTTCAGAAACATACCTCCCCTGGAAAAGCCCTTGGGAATACCCATGTAATACTCTCTAAACTTTCGTGGGTTGAGTGACCAATGGTGCTGAGATGCATGTACTAGCCAGACATGGTGGTACACACCTACAATCCCAGCACTTGAAAGGCTGAGGCAGAAGGATCACAAGTTCAAGGCCACCCTGGGCTACATTCAAGATCCTGGCTAAAAAATAAAAGAAGCTTATAAAGAGTATTGGAAGCTAAGAGAAGGCAACTATGATTTCCTACAGGAAAGAAGGTCAGAGCTAGAGGTGGGCTTTAAATCACCAATGATGAGTAGAACAAGCTTCCACCAATCCTTCTGAGGCCATCTCTACAACCAGGGTGAGAAATATGGACTACTTCCGGTCCACAGACTTGAACCTTAGAGGGGCTCTCAAAGCCTGAAAGAAGCCACTTTAGGATCAAGAGCATAATCTTATAAACTTCCATGGTAAGTACGGAGAACACCAGAGATGGTCAAGTCTGGAAATATGAAGTACTTCCAAATATGCTAAGAAATTCATGGGTTCCAAGTTAGAAAGGGAGAGTTCTTTAAAGATTGCTGAAGGTTCATCCTGACCTTTGGAAACTATCATCAGAGGTTTTGACCACAGCCTCTCCCCATGGGCTCTCCTATCTAATCCACAGTGAATTAGCTTCTACTCACAAGGAACTAGTGAGGTGGTCCCTGTCATCAGAGGCCCTGAAAAGGCTCAGACTAGAGAAAAGGTCACAGACTTCTATCATCACACGTGTACCTGTAGTTTTTCCCTCTGGGTCCAGTGGTTTCCCTGGAAACCTTCTGTAAAGTGTATCTCCAGGAATCCCCAGAGTCGGCTGGGACAACCCAGTTCTGGGGTCACCTCAGTTCTTGGATGGTGAGAAAAGATGCTTCCCTCTCCTGATGGGTTCCACCTGTCCTGGGCAGTAACCGCCCTGGTGGGAAACCTTAACTGCATCTCCCTTGTGCCCATCTTGCATGGCCATCAGACAGTCCCCAATGCAGACTCCTACTGTCCTCACTCCTGGGGAAGACCAGAGGCTTCTCCCATGGTCCAAAGTCCATATACAAATCCCCAGCATTAGCTAAAATCCTCTGATACAGGGGCTCCATGTCAGTGTCCTAGGGGACACAGGAAGAAGAATGACAAGGGAGGCAGATGGCTATGTGGGCTCAGGGACCCTCCTCCACTTCCCACCTGGCTTCTTTTTTTTTTTTTCCAGTGGAGCCAGAAGGAGAGGAAAGGGTGTCTTTGTCTTCCTCAGAGCCTGTACCTTTGGTGACATCCCCTCTGGCCCTCTCTAGGCCTGCCTGAAAAACAGCCCCCAGGGTCCCAGTGGCTTCCCAGACAGTATCAGAGTACATGACCACAGGAGAGGAGCAGGAACAGGATGAGTAGGAGAAGTTCTACATTATCCATCAGCACAGGCGTCAGTGGCCCCATGCATAAATTTATAGAGAAATAGGCGGACGCCTTGGGGTGGGGAGGAAGGGGCTAGTGTATAAAAAGGGCCTGCAAGGTACGAACTCCAGGATCCTAGGGCCCAGCTCCCGAAACTGCTCAGGGTCCTGTGGAAAGCTCACCACACTGCAATGGCTGCAGGTAAGGACCTCTAAAATTCCTCTAGGTGTGGTATGGGTCAAAAGATGCAGGGACCCTGCAGATGGGATGGGGACATTAACGTGAGTACAGCCATCTAAGCCCAATGTTTGGCCATGTTGAAAATGTTCTCAGTTCCTGGGGGAGAGGGAGAGAATGGCTGCTGGTCTCCAGCCTCCCCCGGCCTCCTGACTCTCTCTAGGCTCTCGGAGCACCTGGCTGCTGACTTTTACCCTGCTCTGCCTGCCCTGGCCTCAAGAGGCTGGTGCCTTCCCAGCGATGCCCTTGTCCAGTCTGTTTGCCAATGCTGTGCTCCGAGCCCAACACTTGCACCAGCTGGCTGCTGACACCTACAAAGAGTTTGTAAGTTCACTGGGGATGAACACCCGGACCGGGTGGCAGAATAGGGCGAGGTTGCCTGTGGGAAGTCACGGGAGAAATCCGAGGGTCTCAAGGCTGCCTTGAGTGCTAACAGATGAGCAGAAAGTGAAGGGGTTCCCAATAGAGTAGGGATAAGAGTCAGTCACCAGCTCAGACCTCAGCTGCCGTGTTTCCCCCAGGAGCGCACCTACATACCTGAGGGACAGCGATATTCCATCCAGAACACTCAGGCTGTGTTCTGCTTCTCGGAGACCATCCCGGCCCCCACGGGCAAGGAAGAGGCCCAGCAGAGATCCGTGAGTGGCCTCTCAGGCTCTCTTTGGCCACAGTTCTCCCCTCCTTCCAGGAAGCTCTGCCTGCATCCCAGGCCAGGGGCTACCCTCTCCCCCAGGGCTGGGCAGTGCAGGAAGCCCAGGCAGAGCCTCCTGGCCACACACTCACTGTCTAGCCCTTCCCCTCAGGACATGGAGCTGCTCCGCTTCTCACTGCTGCTCATCCAGTCATGGCTGGCGCCCGTGCAGTTCCTCAGCAGGGTCTTCACCAACAGCCTGGTACTCGGCACCTCGGACCGCGTCTATGAGAAACTGAAGGACCTGGAGGAGGGCATCCAGGCCCTGATGCGGGTGAGGATGGCCCTGGGGCCCCCAGCTGTGGGGCCATGCCACCCTCTGCCAGGGCTAAGGGCCATGCCACCCCGGCTGAGGGCTGGGGAACTGCATGGGGCTGCTCACTTTTTACCAGTCAGGCCTTGACCCAAGGGAATGCAGCTTATCCTTACTTTCCCTTTTCAATCCTTCTTTTTCTAAGCCCTGGAGGAGAAGGAGGGAAATGAGGGTGAGGGACGACAGAGCTCCTAGAAATCCTCTGCCCTTCCTTCTCATTATAGGAGCTGGAGGATGGTAGTCCCCAGGCTGGGCAGATCCTCAAGCAAACCTATGACAAGTTTGACACCAACTTGCGCAGTGATGATGCACTGCTCAAGAACTATGGGCTGCTGTCCTGCTTCAAGAAAGACCTGCACAAGGCCGAGACCTACCTGCGGGTCATGAAGTGTCGCCGCTTTGTGGAAAACAGCTGTGCCTTCTAGTCACACAGTGTCCCTGTCACCCTCCCCTCACCCTGGAAAGCGCCACTTCAGTGCCCTCCATCCTTGACCTAATAAAATTAAGTTGCATTTTATTGTCTGACTAGGTGTTTTTCTATTATGGACTGGAGGGAGGCAGTGTGGGGCAAGGGTAGGATGGGTAGCCAACCTGCAGGGATCCTGTGGGGTCTGTGGGGAAACCAGGCTGCTGAAAGAGCAGGCCTGGCTCTTCCTGAGACAGAATCTCCATTATGTGCCAAGTCCACTCCCACTGGTGCTTTCTGGACAGTCTCATGGGTCAACAAAGTCATCTGTTCCCCCCATAAAGGACTTGGCTCCCTCCCTCACCAGCATCAGCAATACCAAACTTAGCTCCCCAAGAGTGGGAAGAAATGGAAAGAAGACAAGCAAGTGCAGAACAAAAATGCCCCTAAGTGAGAAAGTAAGAATGAAATCATAGAACGACTTTCGTGCCTAAGTGGCACTCTTACCTTTTAAACCACTCCACCAGCCCTTTTTTGTGATGGGTTTTTTGAGATAGGGTCTCATGAGTTATTTGACCAGGTCTGGCTTCAAACCATGATCCTCCTGATCTCTGTCTCCTGAGTAGCTAGGATTATAGGTATGAGCCACCAGTGCCTTGCCGTGCCTAAGTTTTAAGATGAATATTCATTTGATCCAACTACCCTTGGGAAATGAAACAAGTCCAAAGATGGGTTTGGGACAAACAGAACCAGCATGCTTGAAGTTTGAATTGGGGTTTGCAAATACTATGCCAACATGCTCCAGGTGGATAACTACAGAAGTGATGAGGGCTGGATGGGATAAGTCACAACTGACACTCAATCTCCTTGTGAGGGATATAGCATGGAAAGTAGGGAGACGTAACCCGAAGAACTCAGGGCCCAGCTAAGGTGGAGGTGGCACTCATCCAACTTCACACCTGGAGGAACAGGTCTGCCAGACCTTCTGCTTCTTCAAGACATCTGAGACACCCAGACTTTTAAATGGAATCTAATTTTTTAACATTGGCAGTTTATATGTATCGAAAACACTTTAAGGGCTAAATTAACCTAGAAATATTTGGTCAATGAACAGTTTTGTTCTAAGAGCAGTGAGTTAAGCTAACTTGGTGTAAGGTGAAGAACCAGAAAGACATGGACTGTATGTAATTTGAGCTCTTGAACATTCCTTGACAGTCCTGAGATAAGAATGTGCTATTTTATGAGACTTATATGAGGATTAAATGAATGATGTTTATGAAGTGATTGCTATGTGACAGCACTCAATAAACTGTGCTGCTTTTGCATTGAATTTTGGGGTATCTCATGTCTTTTGACAGAAGATCTAAACACTTGTCATTAAATTATATTGTTTCTTAATGGCATCTCGGAGTTTCTTATTTCCAAAAGAGTTTAAAAGGGTGGTGGCTGATATTTTATAGGTTAGTCTCTCAAGCACCTTGGCTCAGTGACTAGTGACCTACATCCAAAAATGATTTTATGAGGCCATTAATTCTTTTATTATGCAAATAACAAGCTTCATAGTTCATTTTCTTGACAAGTTCAAATTTTTATGTGCCGTAATGAATTTTCTTTAAGTCAGGACCTACCTATATTTATTTTTGTGTATTTTACATTAATGATATAAATCTTTGGGGAGGAGTTGAAGGCTGGAATAATCAGAACTCTGGAGCCCCATTTCTTAAGTCAGAAACCACTCCTCTGCTTGAAAATTATGGGACCTTGAAATGAGAGGGCCTCTTAGGGCATCCTGATTCCTTCTACGTTAGACATCTTATTCTATAGCATTCATTAGAGATGGCATTTCCACTACCACTTGTGTAACACTAACACCAAGGAAATCACTATTTCACAAGACAACTCATTCTTTTTTTTTTGTCACGTGATCTTTTATTGAAATATTTTCTTTCATACTACTTTTTTTTGGCAGTACTGGGGTTTGAACTCAGGGCCTCATGCTTGCTAGGCAGGAACTTTACCAACTGAGCCACCTTGCCAGCCCTTTTTTTATTGGTTATTTTTGAGGGAAGATCTCACTTTACACCTTTGCCTGGACTGTTTATGCTTCCCTGAGTAGCAGAGATAACAGGCACACCACCATGCCCAGCCATTGGTTGAGATGGGGTTGCACAAACATTTTACCCGAGCTGGCCTTTAACCTCAATCTTCCCAGTCTCTGCCTCCCAAGTAGCTATGATTACAGGCTTGAGGCACAGCACTCAGCTTCTGAACATCTTAACTATTTGTAGTCCTACTGCACTACAGATGAGTCATTTATGATATCATGAAGGTAGTTGTCATCAACATTGCAGTTCACACACTGTGTAGTGACCAGGATGATGTTTAGTGGTTCCAGAAAGTTCTCTGACGAAGATTCATACACCTATATCCTAGCTACTTGGGAAGCTGAGATCAGGAGGATCTCAGCCCAGGAAAATAGTTTGCTAGATCTTGTCTCCAAAATAACCAGAGCAAAATGGACTGGAAGCATTGCTCAATGGGAGAGGACTTTCTTTGCAAGTGTGAAGCCCTGAGTTCAAACCTCAGTCCCACCAAAAAAAAAAAAAGTTCTCTGGATAAAGATCAGGCAATGTTGATAATTTCATCAAAAGTGATATTTTCATTGTGTTGAGTGTTTTTGTGTCTTTCTGTGTCTTGTTGGTTCCTTGCAGGCTTTGATGACCAGGGCAGAGGCAGAAGGTACCACTTCAATCTGTATCTGTCTGTGCTGAACGGTCAGTTTCATTGTAATCTTTGGAACTCTGCAGTCACCAGTTGCCTTGATCATATCATCACCAACCTTTTTTGGAGACAGATACAGGGGGACTGTCCTCACCACCAGTCCACCTCAGATACACAACTTTGATATCATTGGGATTGGATTTAGGTGGTGTGATGTGGTGGCCAGTATCAGATGAACCTGGATTCAGGATGAACAAAGAAAGTTGCACCATGACTTTCTATGACAAATCATTCTATTAAACCATTCTGGTTCCAAGAGGAGTCATTTAATAGATACAGATGAAAAGCATTCTGGAGATGGATGGTAGTAAAACAGTCAGTGACCACCATAAGCTCTTGGTCCTTAATCCATAACCTGTTACCCACTGGGTGTGTAGTATGAGTCTTTCCCTCTTTCAACAATGAATTGTATATAGTGTGTGTCTTCCCTGAGCTTTCTACACTCATTGCAGGGTCCAGATCCACCAGGTGCACTGTAAAAACTAGGGCAACACCATGTCTCCAAGGACAAACTGTTGATCTGTGTCTTATACAAGACTTCTCAAAAGCTACCATATTCTTGCTGGGTGTCAGTGGCTCATCCCTTGCTACTCAGCAAGCAGAGATCAGGAGGAGGATCATGGTTTGAAGCCAGCCCGGGCACAAAAAAAGGGCTGGTGGAGTGGCTCAAGTGGTAGGACCATCTGCCGAGCAAGCATGAGGCCTTGAGTTCAAACCCCAGTATCACCAAAAAAATACCACATTTATGACCAATGAAAAATTACCAAACCCTAGCCCACACTGGCAACCCAATAAAAAGCTTGCTTCTTCCCTTGCTGGGGAACATTCTGGTCTCTCATCAGTTCTGTTTCCCTCTCATTGAGGAAAAGCCTCCTTTAAAGCTTTTCCTGTGTGTTCATGCTCTTTGGTTGCCAAGTCAGAAGTGCCCTTGTCTGGTATCACTGGTGCTGGTTGCAAAGCAATGTGAATGTGGGTGACATTACAGAGCTCTACACCTTAAACGGTTATGATGATAAATTTTATGTATATTTTGTCACAATTAATTTTTGTTGTTTTTTTATGAAACAAGGTCTTGCTAAGTAGTCCAGGCTGGCCTTGAACTCCTCCTGCCTCAGCCTCCTGAGCAGTAGGATTACAAGCATGTGCCACAATACCTGGCTCAAAATTTTCTAAATAAAGCTAGCACAAGAAAGGGTTCAGGTAGCAGAGCTCAAGTAATCCTTGATCTCATAGCCATGTCAGGACCTTCTGTAGATTTTGTTTGTGTTTGAGATGATATTAGAGTCATCTTTGTCCTTGATACTGGTTCCAGCCTGCCTCCAGCTGTTCCAGCAGTCACATGGCTTCTGCTGATGCAACAGCCTTTTGGTGTCATGCAGTTGCCTCTTTCCCTGTGCTATATCGCCTGCCTCATTCTACCCTCAGAGGTTGTCATCCCTTAATCTTAAGAATTATGGAAGGGCGGTGGTCTAGCTTTCAGAACTTCTCCCTACTGATGTTATAGTAGTTGACCCAGCTTGCCTTGGGGGTGGAAATCTCAGGCTGCTGATCTAAGGTAGTCAGAGACCCTGCAGGTGACTCTGAAGTTGGGATGGGCTGAAAACCTTGCAGGACCATGATATTGGTGTGAAACAATTGAAATCTAACCAAAGGGTCAAGAGAATAATTTGACTGGGCATGTATGGCCTTTCTAGGGATCCCCTGGTCTCAAATCTAGGGAGCAGATTTCTGGTGGAATTGTCTCCTGTCGTTTATCTTGCCAGGATGGTGTCAATATCATTAACAAGTGTCCTTGTGGGGTTTTGAAGTACAGGGTTGCCCCAAGAGAGGCAGGAACACCAACCCTAATAAAGGAGTGGGGTACCTGGACATCATCAAAAATTTGTGAACCAGCAGATAGTCTTCTATAGCTTCAGGTAAGGTGAAATATCACCTCTGGCATTCTGCCAACCCTGTTGTTACAGTTGTTGTGCAGCTTCAGGTGGACAGAGGTCCAAAGTGGCTGGTCAGAATAGAATATGAGTCCCCTGTGTTGATTAACAGATCAATTTCCTTACCCGCTACATCAAGGGTCACACAAGGTTCCTCATCAGTCATGAGTGTGCTTTGGTTAGAGCCATCAGAGAGAGACCTTGGGACACCTCAGTACTCTTTTATAAACATCACGGGTTTAGGAGTCCTTTGGAGCTGGGGACAGTCTCTCTTCCAGTGACCTTTTTGTTTGTAAAGATGACATGCACTGGGGAGACTGGGACATTTCTTTCTCCCATACTTGAAGCAACAACCATTTGCTGTTGGTCTTTTGCTGGACTGCTTAGGCTATTGC